CCATGTGGAATGGACCTGATCACAGGAGTGCTTTACAAGCAGAGAGTTTTCTTTGGCTGGTCACAGAGAGACTAAGGACTAGGGAGCTTTCTCCATTACTCAGATAGATACAGGGACCAGTGGCAGGGACCTGAGAACAGCCTCTGGGAGCTGAGTGAACTCCCAGGTCTGCAACTAGCAGGGCAGTGGGGCCCCTAGGAACTGAATTTCGCCAACAACCTGAGGGAGCTTGGAAGTGGATCTTTCTCTGGATAAGCCTCCAGATGAGGCCTTGTGAGACCCAAGCAGAGGGCCCAGCTGAACAGTGTCAGAAACTGTTCCACAACCAATCTGCACTGATGGTAATTTGTTATACAGTATCAGCAAATTTACACAGGCCTCTTCTAAAGGGAGTCATATCAGGCGATGTCATGTCTAGATGCTATATTTGGTTTTGACTCTACAGATCATTGGCTTTTTCCCAGCTCAATTAATTACATGCCTCCTACCAGCATAGCAGGAGCTCATTCAAGACAAGCCTGAACTACGGAACTGCTAGAAAACCTGGTGCCCAATTAAATTCTGCAACAGTGAGTGATCTGTGTATAGATGGCTCTCTAAAACCTCTAAGTAATAATAGAACATAGTTCTTTCTTCTATATCCCCCCAATAGTTTTATAAAATTAGGGCTGAAATAGGTACGCTCCGGTGTCTGACCTAAAGGATTCCAGGACAGTCTTGGGCCAGTTCTTAATCCTTATGAAACATAATGTTTGACTCCTGTTTTTTTTTATGAGGTTTTCAGTGGATTGACTATGTTGTCATCTCCCCTCCACACCCTCAGCAGCCTTTGTCTCCGAAGAAGTTCCCTCCTTGGCTGTCCTCGCTGCACACTGGCCACTTCCTCTGGACCAAGGAACTAAATAAATGTCAAGCTCCACTTTCTCTCCCACAATCGCTTCTCTCCCAGGCTCGTCCTCCTATGATGGGCAGCTGGCCTAAGTGGACATGCAAAGCCAGTGTCAAAAAGTTGAGGATTCTCTCAAGTTCAGTGAGTTTTTCTAAAATATTACCAGGATCTGGAGTTAGACCTCAGAAATATGTGGAACAATAGCCAAAATCGTTTCTACAACCAGGACCCAGAACATGCATTTTGATAAACTGGTACTAAGAAATACTATCCCCAAGAGAAAGCAAGGCCACTTTGATATAGACAATTCACAGATGGACAGCTTGCTTGTTGACATTTTAGGTAAGATCCAGAAGGTTCTTGTAGCTGGAGATTTTTAGTATTGAAATAAGAACCCCAACAGTAGACCCCCTGAATCTCTGACACGGAGAGCTCTTCCTCCCAGAGGTGCTTTCACGTTGTTTGAGCACTTGTCACTGGGGAGCTATCCGAGGGTGCTTTTCTAGATGCTCCTGGCTCAGCCCACGGTCCCCACTCTTCTCTGGCTGGTCACCGAGCTGAGCAGAAGGCACGGGAAAAGGATCACCAGGGAAGCGTTTTCAGAGGAATGTCCAAATCAAAGCAGCGCTGCTGTTTCACAAGCCTGGTTCACTCTGCCAGCACGACAGGGAGGACCTTCCAGGCTTGTTACTGGGACACCTCCCGAACGCCCAGCCCAATCTGCCTCATCAAGGCCAGAGGTCGCTTTCATTTACCATTCCACCTTCTCCCTCTGACAACAGGAATAGATGGCTGGTATTAATCCTCCCCGGCACCCACAGTGGGTTTGGGAAAGAGCCCTCTGCATTCTTCTCACCAGCTGAGCATGTTAAGGAGGAAGTGAAAAGGCCTTAAGAGCCAGCCACCGGGCCTAGAAAAATTCCCAGTCAATCCATCACCTGCCTCTTCTGCAGGAGGGCCTGCCAGTCCATTCCACAACTCCAGGGGCAGGTGGAGAGGGCTGTGAGCTGTATCTGTCGGTGAGTCTGTGTGTCCGTGTGTGCTGGTGTGAGTGTGTGTGTGCCTGTGTGCACTTGTCTAAGCACAGAGACAGGACTAGTAATAGAAGAGCCGGTGAGAGGGCGTGGGAGACTGAGAACTTATTTATAAAAGCTCTTCTGCCCTAAAGCAAGTCAAACTCCCCGCTGAGGAGCTGCTTTTTCTTCCTCCCTTTTGAGTCTTGTGTGCCGAGCTGACCTCTCCCCGGCAGAGGTCAGCGCTCTGCTCACCCTGTGTGCACTCGGCCTTCTGGGGCTCGGTTGCCTTAGAAGCCTGAAGAGGAGAGAATTCTTCGGCTCTAATTTCTGAGAGAAAAGCTGTAGTAAATCTCGTGGAAAAGCTGGTCTTTTTATTTTTTTAAAGAAATATATACGTTATGATCTTTTGGGAACTGTAGAAAACATGAAACTGTACATCACCAGGGTCCCTCCCACAGTCTACTGCACCCCCTAAAATAAATCAGGCTGGGGAATGAATGAGGTCTTAAGAAATGCAACTGAACTTAAAATACAAGGTCAGCATCTCATCCTAGGTAATCCTTTGGAGGATGAGAAATTCTCCTGATTTTCCCACAGGGTTATTTCAGATGTGCTTTCTGAGCCAAACTATTTTAAAAGCATTCATTCTTCCACTGCCCTGCCAAATGTGAATTTGAGATTCACATGCACTTTTTGAGAGCTTATTAATGATATTAATGATCATGGATCAAAGGCAAACCCCAGACAATTATTTAGGTGCTTTAAAAACTCATCTTCTGTGGGAGGGAAACAATGTCTCAGTGCTGCCAAAGACGAAGCTGCGGGCTGAGGTGGTGGGTCTAAAGCAGCCTTACGACTGGAGGGGCCTTAAAGGAGAAAACAAAATACATCCCTTTGTGCGATTAAAATGTACACTTAGTGACACCACACCGCCAAAGCCTTTGCTATTCAGAAGGCAGGTAGGTACACTTCTGATTTGCAGAAAGCCCCTCTCCTAAAGGATTCTCAGTTCTTAGAGGGTCCTGCCTCTTTTAACACCCAGTATTTATTGAGACCCACCCCCACCCCTATATTTTTAAACAATAATTCTTAACCATGGCTTTTCATGAGAATCATTATTTAAGGATCTTTTAGAATTACCCACACTCAGGCCATTATCTGAAAGATTCTGATATTAAGTAGAAGCTACCCAGGTAATTCCAATGTGTGTGGTCAGTTCAAGAACCTGTTTTAAAGCAGATGGAGCAATTAATGCATGGGAGTTCTACCTTTAATTCAGGACTCTATAGAGCCAAGGGTGGCAGTTAAAATATTAATGATTGATAATGGAAGAAACTGAGGCCCATGACATTAAATGACTAGTCCCAAAACACACAAACCAATCAATGTCAAAACAGCAGCTGGACCCAGAGTGTGAGCTGGTAGCACCATGCTATCTTTCAGTCCCCAGGTCCCCAGTCCAGGCCCAGGGCAGTGCCTCTGTTCTGTGGGCTGGGCCACACAACACACCGCCACAGCCACAACTCAAGGAAATGGGCTTTGCTTCATCAAATGCTGTGGTTCTCAGCATTTCACCCACAGCTATTCAAGTGTATTATTCCAACCTGATACTGAAATGCTTCTGAAAAATTATGTACAGGACCCGAGGGAAAATATATTTACAAGCAACCAGAGAGGCCTGGGATTCTGTCATAAAAGGCACTGTAAAGAAAGAGTCAGCCCAGGACTTCATTCAGTGCTGAATGAGGACTAGGTCCACTTAGAAAATGGAAATGAATCCACTTGGGAAACGTCAAGATTCTCTGGAAAGGAATCAAGGTCACATTCTTTAACCCCTCACAAGAGGAGTCTATCTGAGCTCACAATTGGGAGCAGAAGTGGGAAATATCTGCATTGTGAAGACCACCCCAAAATCCTACAGGCCAATTTAATCACAGCATCCCACACAGTATTTTTCAAACCTGCAGCTTTAGGACCAATTACTCAGATGCAGAGCTCTTCTGATTATTTTAACTCGGCATTCAAAACCTCAGCATTGCTTCAAGGAGGAAAGAAAAAGTCTCTAACAGACAGAATATAATTTTAAATAGCATGTTCAGGAAAGGGCATTTTAGATGTACATTCCTTGGGGTTAACTCACTTGTTTTGAAGAAAAGTGATACACACTAATTTGACTTTTTAAACAACTTTTCTTTTTATTCATAAAACAGGTCCATTTCCACTACTTTCATCCTCCTAGGCATGTACAAATGTTTAAATATTTTAAACAAATGAGAGGATAAGGTCAATGTTGAAACTGAGCTCTCTTGGTGATTGCTACAGTATTTGGCTTCAAAACACTTTTTAAAAATTTATTGACTTTAGAGAGAAAGGGAGGGGGAGATGGAGGGACGAAAGTGAGAGAGACAGAAAAACATCAACTGGTTGCCTCCTGGTAAGGGATGGACAGGGGACTGGAACTGCAGCCTCGGTCTGCGGCCTGCCTGGGGACCCAGCTGGCGAGCTTCCCATGCACAGGACCATGCTCCAACCCACCGAGCCGCATCGGCAGGGCTGGCTTTCTAACTTGACTGAAGAGAGTTATTCTGGGGATCTGACAAATCCATACCTGCAGTCTCCTGCTCAGATGCTTTAGGGTCAAACATATGGTTTTATTGATATTTGCTTAATCAAAGAATTAAAAGTTTTGATAAGTAACTGTAATGGCAATGATAAGGTAACACGTGGTAATGCTATATGCTGCATAATGACACTGTTTTAAGTGCAAATAATTTCAAGCCCAGTACGAAGTAGTTCTTGACAATTAAAGGCAATAATTTCACACATGCAAGTCCCCTCTGTTAAGCTACACACTGACAGTCGTTCCTTGTCTAGTTAAATAAATACAGAAACCAAATTAGAGGGAGTTCATCAGATTTCTGAGGATTTCATTATATCACTAAGTTGTAATACCAATAATATATATGGTTAGACTTGTGTTCTGAGTAATTAGCTGAACTAACCTCATTTTACAATGCTTAATTTATTTTGTACCAAGGAAGGCTTTAAACCATTTACCAGAAATCAACTTAATTTTGATTTTTTACTTGCTCCAACGTGTTTCAATTCATTACTGTTTCAATAAAAAGGAATAAACTCTCTCGTCTAACCAAGCGTGGACATTTCCTCAAAGGAGACGAAAAGAAGTCTAAATGACTTCCACATTCAAGTCACAGCATGCTGAATAGAGAATTTTTGGTGGTTAGGAAAGCCATTTGCTACTTCAGAAAGAGGGCCACTCACTGGAATTTTGTGGAAACATTACAGTGGGGCCTACCAAGAGGAACTCAAGGAAGCAGAGGACAGTGACACGGTGGCCCCAGGCCATTCTCCTGGCACAGAGGTTTCCTTCCCTTCCTGCTCTGCCCTCCAAGCTCTCTCTGAGATCAAAGGCCACTGATATGTACAACAATTCGTACGAAGTCCAAACTTGATACCAGAAACAAACAACTGTGATCTCACTGTTGCCCCCCAAATCTATCTTGAGATACCTCATTCAGAGAATAACCATATTCTCCGTACTTCAAACTATAAAGGGTTTTTGTGACTCTTGCTTTTTATAAAATGAGAAACATTTTCCTACTTTTTCCATAGTAAATAAGTGAATAAAAAACCTACAGCACTCGCTCCTCTCTCACCAAATGTTTGCTCCTTTGCATTTCACAATTTATATGCATAACTGGATGACAGTTAACCTCCAGTGGCAATGAAAAGAAAAATGTGTAAGAAAAATCACACTGACGGTTCTCAGACATTTCTGGTTAAAAGACAAAAAATGAAGACATAACATTAGCAAAACCCAATCTATTAAAAAGTCATTTGAAAGCCCACAGAGATGACTTAGAAGCTATGACACTGAGAGAGTTTGAGAGTTCAAAGTTGTGACATTAATCAAAGTGGATCCACATGTCTTCTAAGCATCATCAGAATTTACTAGGATTTGACTATACATTTATTTTAGGTTATTAAGTAAGTGGATGAAGAACTTGTCCCTTTTTGAGTAAGAATATTGACAGGATCCCAGATTTTCAGTTGCAGAATTATGAAGATTACTTAAAATATGAAAACATACACCAGTTCCAGCAGCAGAAAACCCTGCATTTCCCACCTAATAAGCAAAAACACCCTCCCTACCCTGCCGCCATTTCCCCTTTTGTACTTCCAAATAGCCAAAGAATCACACAACGACTCAAATGACAAGAGATCCAGGGGTGTTTCAGACATGTGGAAGGAAAGTGCTAGAAGGCAGAATTCCTCAAACACGTGCCACGGTGCAGAAGGGGAGAGCTGTTCCACCCATTAACCCTGCTAAAATCCCATGCGAGAAAGACTGTATCAATCTGCAACCAGTGGCACTATTTTTCTCTCTTACAACGCAGTAATCGTTATTTCCACAAATACAACAAACTCTAATGCCAAGATGTTTCTTGAAAGAAAATCATTATAAGAATTGGCCTTAACCATCAAGCCCGGGTTAACTAATGAAATAAAAACTTCTTTTAAAAAAACCTTCCTGTTGCCTCTAGTTCAAAGTTCACCTTCTTGTTCTGCAGCAGGCAGCAGCTATTGCTCTGGAATGGCTGTCTTTATTCTAGACTCTTCCAGGAAACTTATTGTTTCTTGGCTTATCACCTGGGTTATTTGTGTTTAAAATGTTCCAATAGCTGTTTCTGTTTAAGAAGATTCAATGACACATAGTGGCCCTGTCTTCAGTGAAAAGAACACCCAGGCTACTGTCCACTCTGAGAGAGGGGCCTGGATGGGCTGCGGAAATCCATCTTCCACTTTCTCAGGAGGTTTCCATTCTGTGTGGTCGACCCCTACTGGGTGAGCAGAATTCTGCTGGAATCAGCTGGAGGTAAGAAAAAAGCTAGGAGGGAAGAGGAAGTGATACCAGTGGGCAAAGCCATGTTCCTAGTTGGGGTGGTAAGGCTGGGGCCACAGAAAGGGGACAGGTTTCCAGGCAGGGTTTGGAGCATCGAAGGAACAGTATGTACACTCATGGGCGGGTGTTGACCAAGACTGAACTTCATGACATAAAATGCTGCCATGGAATATGGCTGCTGCTTAATGAGTCTTACACTACAATATAAGTGGGGGAAGGAGACATGGGAAGGACACAGTGAGGTGGGAGAAACCACTAATTAGTCTTAAGTATGAACTTACACTGTTTCCATATTCTTGTATTTTGCTGGGCTCTTTCTGGGCTATTTTTCTGCTAACTTCAACACTTATGGGAATACACTTGATTTTCCTTGTTAAAAGGGAGGTGCTACTTCAAAGGACCACCCAGTGCTGACCAGAGATATAACTGATGGGTGGCCTTTAAAGACAATTTCTTCCTGTTTCAGAATGATATTGAGGTAAAGAAATCTTTAGTGGGTATGCATCCAAAATGAGTCATTGCTATGATTCACTACATGGCATTTCAGCAAGCCCACTGGAGACAAGGCCACTGCGTGACACTGCAAATCTGAGACTCCTGCTTCAAATTTGAACTGTCTGTGAAGCCTTTCAAATGGGAAACCAGAAACTCTGGCCACCAAGTTCCCCTTGGGTTCTAGTCCATACTGAATCTAACCAAAATCTCAGAGGCAGGGACAGGGATAGGCCTGAGCTACAAGCAAGAACAAGCCTCTAACATGCTTTCCAGTGGTGGGCCAAGTTACTGGTGTATGTGGAAGGTACTGCAATTCTTAAGGTAAGTAACAGCTCTCTGGGTGCTGTGCCTACCAGACTTAAGAGCCTGAGAACAGAGTGACTCAAATACTGAATTCACATGCTTTACAAGTTTGAGGGAACACAAGGGTGTACGTGTCCACATGTGGCCCCAGCTGATAAGCCAGGCTAGAGGAAATAAACACTAGAGAGTGTCCAATCAGTACGGTGGGTCTCGACCTTGAGTCTGTTTCAGAATCACCCAGTTTCTCATTCAGTAAGTCTGGGGTGGGGCCCAAATGCCACATTTCTAACATATTTTCAGACAATGATGCTGGTGCAGGAGAATAAATTTATGCCTGCAACTCAACTGCAGCACTGTGGCATGATCTTTACATGGCCATTGCATGGTCTGTACAGACATGTGTCCAGGAGACATGTGATTGGTTTCTTCATGCAGTTCTTCAGGAATGGTGCTGTCCCTGACAAAATGAATGGATGTTTATCATTAAAATAAATTTCTGAAGACAGTTATAAAGTATGATGAGAAAGTAGCAATGTTGTTAGAATAAGCATACAAGGTCTGTCTGGAAAAAGTACAGCCACTATTATAACAAGAGCAGTTTGTGTGAAATCAACGTAACAAGCAGACAAGGAGAGTGGACTGGAATGCCCATGTGTGAACAATGACAATTTCACTGCACTGGTCAGTCAGTGGGGGCGTCACTGAGTGAGCACATGTACTATGTGGCCGTCACATTCAAAATCACTGAGCAAGTACAGCAATGGATCTGCATCAAATTTTGTGTTAAGCTTGAACATTCCTCTGCGGAAACTATTTACATGATTCAGAAGACTGCAGTTATGGGCAACTGGTGACTGGCAGCTTCATCATGCCAATTCGCCCCATCATGCATCATGTCTCCGGCACAGTTTTTTGGCAAAACATCAAATCTCCCAGGTGACTCAGCCCCGCTACAGCCCCAATCTGGCACCCTGTGACTTCTGGCTTTTCCCAACACTAAAATCACCTTTGAGAGGGAAGATTTCAGACCATGCATGAATTCAGGAAAATACAACCAGGCAGCTCATAGTGACTGAAAGGAACTTGTGAGGTTCCAAGGTGCCTATTTTGAAGGGGATCAAGGCACTACTGTCCTATGTACAATGTTTCTTACATCTTGTATCCTCTTCAATAAATGTTTCTATTTTTCATATTACATGGATGGATACTTTCTGGACATACCTTGTGTGGGCTCCTGAAGGAGACTGCTTTGAGAGCTATCCCTAACACAGAGACATATTTTTCTATATAAAAAAGTCATTCTAATTCCTTTGAAATCACAGCATCTATACAGCCTTCTCATTTTTCATAGGTTTGGCCACTATATCTCTCAACCTCAACTTTGCAATCCTCCTTGGTAAGTCAGTGGCCTCTTTCGTATTTCTTCCTTTTCTTGGCTGGGCTGCCATGAATCGTAGCTAACCTTTCAGTGTTTGTGGCGGAGCCGGTTTGCTCTGCTAGCCCTGGCTTATTTTACAGAAGATGTCTGGAGGAGAGATTTTCCAAAACATGCAACTCTTTTTCTTCCCCACATTTTTTTTATTGTTGTTCAAGTACAGTTGTCTCCATCCCATGCCCCACCCCCCGCATCCCAGCCACCCCCACTTCCCACCACAGATCCTCCCTGACTTTGGTTTTGTACATGTGTCCTTTATACAAAAACATGCAACTCTTCATTAGACATGGTTTTTGCCAAATCTTGTTTCAAAAGTAACCCCGGATCTAACAGCTCTAAAATTGGTAAAACTCTGACAGCTTTGCTTTTTTTCCACTATTATTTCTCTTGGGGCTAATCAATCACTTCCAAAAGAAACTCTCTTGTGGTGGTCGAAGTCTTCCACAGAGCCGCAGTTCCTGCGTTTCTGTTGTGTTCTGGCCCCTCGTGGACTTTGTTTTGGACGTGGTGATGCTGACTCACATCTCCAGACAGGGCTCCTGCTTAGAAGCCCTGTCTCTAACCACTCCCCAGGATGAGGTTTTTGCTGGCTGCTAGTTTCTCCTGGCTGGGCCTGATGAACATTTTCCAGCTTTTGAGCAGGGAGCCCCCACTGGCTCTCAGCTGCCTTTATGTAATCCTTTGCTTGTCCCGTGGCCGCCAGTGGGGCACTGGATGAAGCTGGACTACCACCTCTTCCCACTGCCATCTCTGCAATCACTGAGTCATTAGATGTTCCCACAGAGTCCCTGCTGCTCTGTGATTTGCTCACGATGCTGCTTTTTGTTTCAGCTCTTTTCACACTAAAAAAAAAAAAATTGTTTTGTAATGCTGTAATGTGATGGTTTCCTCCAAATTCCCCTTACCACATCTCCTACACCTGAAAAAAGAAAGCATACACTACGTTCCCTTTTCCCTATCTCCCCGGCAGATCTAGAAAAATCCCCAAGTGTACGTTTAAATGCAGACTGGGTCAAGAAATAGCAGTCACATTTTCCAGTACACTGGGATACACCAGGGAACACTTTATTTACTGATACCGGTGGAGTTCCTATTGTAACAAAGACAGACGAGTCTTCATTTCAGATGTTAAGGGTCAACTTGATATATTGATTTTCATCCCCAGAAGTAAATGCTCAAATACATCCAAAGCACAAGCTGTATTTATGTGTCTCTGTGTGTATGTGTACAAGAACATGCACAGAGATACACACTGTCTATTTGTAAGTAAGGAACAATGTTATGGAATTTCTCTCAGGCCATTTCAAGGTATTATTCAAATACAATCACCATTTAGTTGGTGTCAGGCTTGTTCATTAACCATTGGAAATAGGATTCAGTTAATATAACTGAAATATTCTGGGAAAAATTACAGAGAGTATGCATGGAAACAAAGTAGAAACGTGGCAGACACCAGTGTGTGTACGTATGTGCACATGTGTGCACACACACAAACCCTTTTTCTACAGTATATACAGCAGTTAATGTAAACTTCCCTCTAGTTGAAAATTACTCTGAGGGGCAGGATAAACACTTCATGGGAAGATTTACAAACTAGAGACTTTGACTTAGGTGTATATTTGCAGGCTTGCGAATGGCAAGAAATGTCTTAAACCACCAAACTCAAAACAATGAAGCTGAAATATTTATTTTGAATAAGCTTTGGTCTGGAAAGAAACACATAGATTTCTGTTCTTACTATTGCTATCAAGGGCATGAGGATTATCATAATTATGTTAGGGTCAGAATAAGCGTCTTAGAAAAGAAATGTATTTTTTGAGGTCTGTAGTCATTCTGCAAGTTGTATGAAACACACCGCCAACAGGTGCGTTTCATCTTCAAAGTGCTTATAATTAAGTGCTCCTTGCAACACACCTGTGAAGCAAGAACTTGACTCCTGTTGTCCAGAAAGCAAAAGAAAGAGAGGAAGGTGGAAGAGCAAGTATGTGTGTGTGTCTTAAGGTAGGCCCAGTGCCAGGGGGGTTGTGATTAAGTTCTATGTATGCTTGTCGAATTCTAGATTTCTTGTTATGTATCCATATGTATACATAGGCAGTCAAAAATGAGAAAAGGAAACACATTGGACCTACATTTCTTTCAGGGCATTTCTCTTGAGCTTTGCACTGGGAGGAAGTGGACTCTCTGCACACTCAGCAAAATAATCAGACACTCCATGGAGAGCTCTTTCCGTCTACTCCAAAAGATAACAAAGATTCAAACAGAAAAATCTATTAGTTGAACATGACAAAACAGTGATACTCTAAATGCCCCAGTGAATAGATTTATTTTTGTGAGAACGAGATGAAACTGCTTAGTGTTAGGCATTTAAATTTTTTTAAATCTAGAACTTTTTGGTAAATTGTCACGTCCCAGCCCACGCACTTCATACATTAATGTGCAGCACAAATGTATACAAGACTGTGATGGAAAGGATGGTGATTCCAAACCACCTGAGGACTCCTGGCCAACATGTGGTATCTCCGAGGTCCAGACTGTGCCAAAGCCCAGAATCTTGAAGCCAGGCAACAGCATGACTGTGAACTTCCATCTTTCAGAGACCTGGTGGTACAGTGGTCTGTACCCTGCCTAGCCTAAGAATTCTCCTCATTTCCTCTTGTTACAAAAATACAGAATATGGCTTTTGCAATACTCAAGAATGCATCAAAGTGTTAAGCCTTTTCATACCAATACTTTAAAAGCTGGAGTTTGAGAATCTTGGCTACTAAAAACCTGGGAATTTTTTTTTCTTAAGTGAACTAGTATTACCATGGTTTTATATAATTCATAGATTATCCTTACATGTTCTTGTGAAGACATCATTAGGAAGTAGTTATAGAATGTAAAAATCTCCCAACCTTCACCAATGTTGACTCATTTCATTCTTTAGAATTGTTTCCTTTTTGTTAGCAAATGGATAATCCAGACAAAGCGTTATCCTCTCTCATTTTCCAGGACACCAAGTACCTTTCTCCATCAAATTCCACAGTAAAATGCTGCTGCCACAGTAACAGTTGCTTTAGACTTACACTGGAATTAACAATAGTCCCACGAGAGCGCCAGCAGTTTGCCTGGGTGTCCCACATCCCATCACTGCACTGTCTATGGTTTCAGACACTGACCAGTGTTATCCAAAGTCATATCTAGTTACAACCTACATCAGTTTTAAGAGTTAGTGAAGGAAATGTTACAGGTTTTATTGGGTGATACTGCATTTGGATGCTTTTCCCTTTCCCCCCTCTAAGACTTACTAGTTGACCAAAAAGAGTTACAGTTGAAAAGTTAAGAGAGCGATTGAGAGAGATTGAGATTTATGTGTGAAACACTTCTAAACATGCCCTATAAGTACAGTAGATTTCCCCCTCACAACCACACCCTGTAAGTGCTGTATTTTCAGAGCTGAACAATTAACATAAGGAGCATGAGTCAGGCTTTGAACAACTCTGTGGGAACCAGAAAGCCTTTTGCTATTAGAAATGATGTAAATTCCCCAAGGCTGGAAGAAATCCACAATGGAAGGCAGACAGGGTCATAAATAACAATGGACGCTGTGGAGACCACTGCGAGGAGGATGCCGTGATAGTGACACTTCTAATCTCATATTGGATTCAATCAAGACCCTTATTTATTTATTTTTAAACCTAAACAGTACTATGCATTTCCTATGAGAACTTCAAAAACTTCTTTAAGACACAGGCTGATGCACTCTCATCCGAAATTCCTCTGACAACCAACAATGGGGGAAAAGGTCCTTGGAGGAAAAAGGACAACAGAAAATGTGACGGAGTGACAGGAAGAAATGTCCAGTTCAAAAAGTGCAAAACCTGTGACTTTATTTTCAAAAAAAGAAAAAGAAAAGAGAAAGAAAAGAGGAAAAAAAAGGCAATGCAGGGTCTCCAGCTCACAAATTAAAACCACATTTGGCAATTTGTTGAAGGAGGCATATTTACATTTGTATGGAGACTGGGTGGGCAGGAAAAAAAAAGATTAGACTCCTTCTTCAGCCCTTGAACTGTCAGATCTCATTAGAAATCTCTCGTTCTTCCATTTCTAGGGTCAATTCAGTACCCTTGTTGCTAAATCACAGCCTCTCCTGCCCCCAAACAAGTTCTCCAGAGGAAGCAGCTTCCACCTGGGAATGGGATTTCCCAAGGGAGTTGTCCTGATTACTAATGGCTTCTCACACAGGGCATCAAAATGCAAATCCATGGCTTATCCAGAGGCAAAACTCTCAGGTGCAGACAGTGTGTGCTGGGGTTTCAAGTGTCTCTCTCGCATACCTGGATGATACTACTCCTTTTTAGATTCTGCCCTGATATCTTCTGCAAAGAATACAGAAAAACTCAACATAATTAAAAAGGCTACCAGTTGGCCATCCAATGTCCAGAGTGAGTAGCCCAGGGGTACTTAAGAAATAGGATAACCAAGATGACCTTTTCTGGCCTACATAAATGATTCTTCACAACCTGGAAGCTGGCTCTGAGTCTGCCAAGGAATAAAATTCTGCAAATATCATTTCCTGGTCACCTGCCCCTCCCCCAATTTATTAATTTTTACTTTTGGTAATACTTTCAGGATTTTAGTTATAAAACTTTCCACTTGTAAAAAGTGTCTAGATATAATTCCAGGACAGAACAGAACAGAAATAAGGCAAGGTCACCAGCCCCAGAAGGAATCTAATCTAGAGGGATACCCTCCTTGGCAGCTTGAGCAAACCAGGCAGGCTGCCAGATAAGGTGTCAGGCCTTATCCCCACCCCTGGGGATGCTCTGGAGACCACGGGGGGTACCCTGTGTCAAGGACAGCCAAAGCACATGTACAGGTCCAAGGGGGAAGTCGAGTAGGTTAGAGTCTGAGTATAATGATGGCCAACATTACCACAGTGCTACTTGGTCTGACGTGGGAAACACATTTTAAATTTCTGGACAGAAGGTACTATAAAGAGAGCCACCACCAGAATTAGCTGGGCAACTAAGACTCACTTTCTGTCTCTAGTCAGAGAATGAGCTAGATTGAAATGTAGTTATAAATACTAAATAATATTTAAGTTATGAAGGCAAGTTGAAGTTGTGGATAGATCCAGGCATTAAATCCATAGTGACTTATTGAATATGTTTTTTTTTTTTTAACAGAACACCGTTGGATTAATGTGGGAATAGGGAAAGAAGCTGGCCTAGAAAGACATAAAAAGCACCAGCTCTTGAGTTAGTACCTCTTTAAGGAGTCTGTAAAACATAGCTGGGATTCCCAAAGGCTAGTGAGAAGACTGACTATCAGAGATTCAGTATTAGAAGCACCAAAGGAGGTTTTCAAAAGTATAGATTCCCAGGCCCCATCCCTGGAAGTTGTGATTCACAAAGCCTGGGGTGGAGCTAGGCGATCTATATGTAGGTTCCCAGGTAATTCAAGAACTGCTGGTACACATGAAACAATACTCCACAGAGCAGAGAAACATAAATAAATGTAAGCCGGTACACTGAGGCAACTTTTGCAAAGTGTAGTCGTTATCTCAGGCATCAAAATGAAGCGGGGGGCTTGTTCAAAAATGTTTTGGATTTTCTCCCAAAATCTACTGTGTTTGCATCACTGGGGGTGGGGTCATCAGGGCATGTGCGTTTTAGGCAAGTGCCTCGGTGATTCTGATACCCAGAAGAGTTAATAAACTTCTGTCCTAAAGGAGCAAGGACTTGGTAACTGAGCAGAGTCCAGCAGAATCACTGAACTCTATACCCGGTATGGTTATGTATTTTTTTAGAGATTCATTTATTTTGAGAAGAGAGGGGAGGGAGGAAAAGAGGCTAACATAGCTACAATCCCCAAAGGCTAGCTCGAAGACTGATGTTAGAGAGAAACATCAATCGGTTGCCTTTTGTGCACACCCCGACCTGGGACCAAACCTGCAACCCAGGCATGTTGCCCTGACTGGGAATCAAATGGGCAACATTTTGCTTCCAGGATGACACCCAAGCAACTGAGCCACACAGATCAGGGCTGTACTAGGCATTGTTTGAGGACCTTATAGGAAAGGACATGGACCCATAAAAATTATCTTTGCTCTCATGAAGACTCCATCCCAATGAGGAAGACAAGAAACAAACAAGCATATGTTAGGTGACGTTATTAAGAAATATAAACCTCTAAGGGGTCAAAGCAGTGTTGTTTTGGACATGATAGTCAGGGAAGGCTGTGGTAAACAAGGTGAGCTTTACCCAGAAACCTGAGTGGAGAACAAGCCATGTAAAAATACAGAGAAGAGCATTTCAGGCAGGAGAAGCATGAGCACTGAGGCTCTGAGAACAGACACTGCCTGGAAGTGGGGAGGAACAGGAAAGCAAATCAGAGGAAGAGGTTAGTGAGCAGGTAAGAGGGGTAGAGGCGTGTGTGTGTATGTGTGTGTGTGTACATACCTGTGAGCACATTGGTGGTGGATGAGGTTACAAATCGTGTATAGACTTTTTTAAGGAGAGCATATTTTAGTCTGAGGAAATTTATTCTTCTCTGGAAGTTTCCAAGAAGAAATGAGATTTAACATCTTGGCTAAGAAAACAATCTCATTCACAACTTCCAAAAAAAAAAGGTGACTTCCAGCCAAGATGGAGGCATAAGTAGACACACTGTGCCTCCTCAAACAATCAAAAGAAGGACAACAAATTTAAACATGAAAAAAACAACCAGAACTGATATAAAACTGAACTGTATGGAAGTCCCACAACCAAGGAGTTAAAGAAGAAACATTCGTCCAGACTGGTAGGAGGAGCAGAGAGAAGTTGAGGCAGGGCGGTGTCTGGAGGACCAGGTGAGGCAGCTGCTTGCAGACTGGACAGACCCACATTCACTTGCAGATAAACCAGGAGGAACAATTGGTGAGTGAGCAACCCAGGGTTCCAGCTCAGGGAAATAAAGCCTCAAAGCCTCTGAATGAAAACACCCGTGAGCATTGAGGTGGCAGTGGGAGAAACTCCCAGCCTCACAGGAGAGTCCACTGGAGAGACCCACAGGGTCCCAGAATGTACATAAACTCACCCACCTGGGAATCAGCATCAGAAGAGCCCAATTTGATTGTGGGTAGCAGAAAAATTGGGCTGAAAACTGGCAGAGAGCAGAGCAAGTGCCATTGTTCCCTCTCGGACACCTCCCCCACATACAGTGTCATAAAACAGTGATGAGGTATGCCCCACCCTGGTGAAAACCTAA